CCCCAAAACCCCAAAACCCCAAAACCCCAAAACCCCGGTTGAGGAGGAGTGGGTTGAAATATGTATAGGTTTTAGTTTTTAGGTTCAGAAGGTTTGAATAGGGTGGAAATTAATAAAGGTTAGGTAGTAGTATTGGAAATTTCTCTAAAATCCTCTGTTTTAAATGATTCACTCTCCTGCTATATGATTAATCAGTAGAAAATTACGCTTAAGGATACTCCAAAGTTGTTAGGAATCAAAGCGTCTGATTGGCCATGATGTTCATCTACTCCAACGCTGACTCTTGGAGTTGTAGATAGACTAAGCTTTATTAAATAGATCTGAACCATTGTAGGAATCAGACTCAACACACAATAATACCAGAAAGTGTAAATAACATACCATGTTCTATTTTTAGTCAAAGATTCTTGTTCCCATTCATCAATAAAATTGGAAACACTTCTTAGCAGAATCATGCCACTCCTGGCTTCAAAGACAACAACGATCACTACGATGCTAATGATTATTCTCCATCTGAGTTTATTTACTCAATTTTACACCGTAGGTATTCTTATCTAACTTCTTAAGAGCTCTGTAGAAGCAGAGCAAGGTTACCATAAAGAAGAGACCAGTTAGCATATTTAATCCTGTCATAATTAGAATTCCTGTTGTAAATATCTTGACATCGTCTAGCTCTTTACTTCATGTATTCACTCCATCAACAACAAATATAATCATTAAGACCAGCAGGATGCCTAACAGAGTCGCCCAAAGAATTATGTTATAAATACGTTTCTCTCTTTTTCCTCTGTTGTTAAACTTTAGTATCTGTGAAATATAAGTGAATGAAAGCACTATAATCGTGCTCATGTACATATAATAGTTTATCCAATCAGTCCAATAACCTAAGCAATAATGATCAATGCCGGTTCAACCATCTAAATATCAGCGATAGGCTTGTGAGGCTCCATAGATAATGTCTCAGATAAGAGATAAAGCCAGAAAGATCATAAACATGGTTATTAGCTTATTTTTAAATCCATAAAATTTGAAGAACATGGCTGAATACCAGAGCTGAACTAAAAGAGTAAGAAATCCAACTCAGGCGTAGACAATCATCATGATGACAAAACCTTTGCATCCAGTAATGGAGACTTTGTTTTCCATTTCTTTCGATTTTAGTAAAATTCAATAATTATTTTAGATCTTGGGGTTTTGGGGTTTTGGGGTTTTGGGGTTTTGGGGTTTTGGGGTTTTGGGG